ATAGATAGATAGATAGATAGATAGATAGATAGATAGATAGATAGATAAATAAATAAATAAATAAATAAATAAATAAATAAATAAATAAAAGAAGTTGCTGGTCTTAGCAGCAGTGGGAAGTGGAGACTGCAGATCTTCTGGGCTGTCCAGACACAGCCTCGCTTATGGGGTGAGCTCTAGGCCAGTGAGGGACCTTGTCTCAAAAAGAAATTACGTGGTGCCTGAGGAATGTCATGCAAGGTTGTCTTCTGTTCTTCACAGCGTGAGTGCTTGCATATGCACACGTACACTCTCGCGCGCACACACACACAAGAAATGTTACCTGGCCAAAGTAAGTATCATATCGGTTAGATGAGTGAGAAGATGCTTGGACATTGTTGCCATAAGGCATCTTGGAATGTTACTAATCTGGGTCTACAGTATCTTACTGTTGTCCCTTTGGTTTTGGACAGAGTACAAAATGCAGGCTATTCTGTGAGCCGGCCGGAAGGGGACACAGGGAAATACAAGTCCATTCCTCACCACCATCGAGGGGAGGTCCAATTTCTTGGAAGGTTGGTACTATTTACTGGTTTCTTATACAACTTTTCTCAGAGCAGCTTTCACTACTCTCCTCCCTCAGCTTCCTCAGCCTATTCTGTTGCTTTTGTCATCTCAGGCGGCATGTCTGTTTAGCCAGCCTGGCCTGTGGCTCCCCATCTTCCTGCCCTTGACCCCTAAGTGCTGGGATCACTGGCTATACCACCCCTGTGCCCCAGCTGTGTGGCTGTATGGCATAGGTCTGAATCTGTTCTGATTAACCAAGGGTAGGCATTTTGGGTGACCATTGGTGAGATTCAGATACCTGGGTCTCTCCCACAGTTCACCTTCTGCTAACCCTAAGGGAGTGGCAGGGCTCTAGGCCTGGCTCCTTTTTGTCCTCTCCTGTTTGTAATCTCTGGGCTAGTCTCTGGAGCCTCCATTTTCTTGGGCCTTAGAGGCATTAGATAGCTCCTGTAAGGATGGCACAGGCAGCTGCCCTGGCCGTGTGAAGCTGGGATGCTGGCTCTAAGCCCCTCTCCATCTTCCGCTTCCCAGGTATGCTCTGCTGAGGAAGTCAAAGGAGCGGCAAGGGCTGGATGGCCTCAACAACCTGAACTACTGTGCAAATATCACATATGACGCCTTGTATAAAAACATAACTGTCAACTTGACACCCGAGCTGGCTCAGGTGACTGAGTACTGAGATGCGGGGAGGAGCCGCATTCGCCTACCCACCGCCCCCTTGGAAGGGCTGTGACGCGCCATCCTGGGGGTCAACACAGGAGGAGAACAGAAAGAGAGTGGAGCGCAGGACCATAGGGTTCCAGAAAACTGTCACAGAGCACACGCACAAAGGCCTTCGCTGTAGGGCCCAACGGGGACAGGAGGCTTGGGGACACCTGTCATCAGCACTGGCTTCTATTCTACAAGACAGATGTCTGCCCTGCTGCTCTCTTCCGTCCCAACCCAGGTCCTGTCTCAGCTGCAACCTCTAGAATTCCAGGGCCAAGCTAGGTGCCCCTTGGATAAATGGATGGCCGAGCCCAGAGGCCACCATGGCTTGAAGCAGATGGACCGCCACACGGTTCTCTGCATCTCTGGTGTTCTCTTTGGTTTTCATTTAGTTTAGTTCAGGTTTTTTTTTTTGGAGGGGGGGGTATTGAGGGTAGAGGGGAGGGACCTGGGGTGATAGACACATAACAGTCACTTCTTGAAGAAGTGTAATTGTAAATAAGCCATGTAAAATGCCTTTTTAAAGTTTAATTTTATAGCTGGCTCCACTTCAAAGTGAGGGCTTCATATATTAGATCACCTTGGGTGAAAAACATGACTCAGTTCCCACGCAATTGAGTGTCATCTCCCAAATCCCTGTCAGCTGGGAAGGAAGTGGATGCAGGGCATAACAAAGAACCTCCTGTCACTACGGCCCCACATCCTTTCTCCTCCTCCCTCTATAGGGTTTTCAACAGCGGAGGAGCCGGAACCAGAACCGCTGTTAGGGTACAGTTCTCTCCTCTTGCAGACCCCTCAGAGCTGGGATGTGTGGGGCTGGAAGAGGCAGGGCTCAGGCTTGCCACTCCAGAGTGGCAGGGACTGGGGAACAGAAGGTTTGAGGCCAGTGTGAGCTACACAGCAAGCCCCAGGCCAGCCTGTGCTGTGTAGCGTGCTACAACTCTCTGGACTTTTTTTGTACTTCAGTGTCTCACACACAGAGTGGCTGCTGGGTGACTTGCCCCTTTTTTCTTTGGAACTTGGCCACAGTTTCTCAGAGCTGTGCCCGTATGACCAGATGGCTTCTGTGATTTCTGTTTCCCTTTTTGGTTTCTGGGAAGAAGCAGTTGATTGGGAAAGGCTCAGCCAGGGAGCAAGTGGCACTGGGGTTTGTCAGCCGGGGTCCAGGAGACATCTCACCAGAGCTTTGACAGGAAGCCCAGCAGATTGCCCCTGCTTCCTGTCTGCCCCTGCAGCAGCCCTCTGTCCCTAATGCAGGGATCTGTGTGTGGTGAGGAGTGCTTTCTTCCGGCCTCCAACTTCTGCTTTTGCCTTCAGCGCCCTCGATGTTCATGGTTTACATGGGTGGGTGTGGGTGTGTAGATATGTGGGGTTGGGGTTTTGCATCACACAGTTGGTTCTGAGGACAGATGATCCCCACAGACTGTGGGAGTGATTGGCCAGGCCTTGTGTTGTTTTTTTTTTTTTCCTCGTTTTTGTTCTTTTTGTAGAATAGAGTGGTATCTAGGGAACAGATGGCATTGCAGAGTGCTTCCCGCTCGTATGAGAGAGCAGGTCCCTGCCCTTGAGAGCGCTGGTGAGCCACGGCATCTGTTTGCACTGGGCAAGGAGCTGCATGGCTGCATTGACTTGCCTTTGTCTTACGGTACACACAGCAATAAAGATTGTGTCTGTCCTGGTCTCCACCTTCTGCCCTTCTCTTGTCAGTTTTACAGTGCTGGGAGTGAAACCCATGGCTTCAGCTAGGCAAGTGCTCTGTCACTGAGCTGTGGGCCCAGCCCTTGCTCCCTCATTCTGTTTCCACACCGAAGGCCAGGAGCTGCTTTCATGGTAGAGCCATGGCGTCCTTTGGAGGGCTTCCAGGGAGGGTGATGGTGCATGTGGCATGTGTTCTGCTCGAAGCTCTGCGTTTTCACACTTGCCACAGGGTAACTGTTTTGAGCCAAAGGCTGATACTTGATTTAAGAAAGAAAATGCCGATTTGGGGACAAAAGAAAAGGTCTTTTTATGCTCAAAGTAGGGTCGCTTATATTCTTTTGCAATCATGTCCAAGTTTGTTTTTAGTGTGGACCATTAGTGGGCACTGTCAATCATTGTCCACCAAGTCACACACTGAGTGGGAAGCGTCACAGTCAAACCATACCACCAGGCCACACGAGGTCTGGGAATGCGCAAAGAAATGACAGTGAGAAGCGAGTGTGACCTTGGTGCATTTTGGCAGCTGAAATTTTCAATGCTACAGACAGTGACCCTTAAACCGACCTGCCCTTGGCTGCCGTGTGTGTGGAAGGTCCCTCTTCATACAGGGTTTCTTTGGGCGAAGGGACATTTGTAAAACTTTCATTTTTGCTAAAACAGGGACTCTTGTCAGCACTTCCCCTTCTCAGAGGACAGGAGAGGCGCAGCGGCGCATGTGCTGACTGTGCCCACGCCACTGACAAGGCATTGAACGCAGCCAGCTTACTCCATCACTACTTTCGTTTGTTTTGAGCTTGCTCTTTGTTTTAAAAGGTGCCAGGGGTACATTTTTGCACTGAAATCTAAAGATGTTTTAAAAAAAAAAACACTTTTCACAGAAATAGTCCTTTGTCATTACATTATTCATTCATGTGTTTGTACATTTTTGTATGTTAATTTATGAATGATTTTTTCAGTAAAAAAAAATACATATTCAATAACCAAACTTTGTTGTCTCTCTTTGTCTAATTGACTTTCAGGAAGGTTCCCTCCTCCTCTTTAGAATACCACACACAGGGGACACCAGTGAATTGGAGGGATAGTGAGCCTTAATTGGATTGCTTCTAGAACATTATCTGTGGGTAGTCCTGGGTTGCATTCTACCTTATTCTGCTTACAGATTGTAATCACAGATAGTTAGAATTGAGGGTTTGCCATCCTCAGTGTATGTGTGTTTTTGTCTTGCTTTCCAGTCCCCTGTAGCCCAGGCTGGCCACAAACTTGTTCTGTTTGGTGCCCACAGATATCAGAAGAAAGTGTTGGCTCACCTGGAACTGGAGTTGTAGGTGGTCATGAGCCACCTGTGGGTGGTGGAAATTGAACCCTGGTCCTTTGCAAGAAAAGTCAGTGTTAACTGCTGAGCTATCTATCTCTCCAGCCTCCCTCCCCCCTTACCCCATCCCCCAGTAGTTTCTATTCTTTGCTGTAGAGGATACAGCCCTGAGCCCCAACACCGGGAAACAAGATAGGTAAAATAAGAGACCTCTAAGCAAGCTGCGTGTGTGCTGGAAAGCCACTCAGTCTAGCGTTTTCTGGGAAAGAAGGCTGCTTGCTGGCTGATAATTTCTTGGTCGAGATGGAAGCCTTGTGAGGTGGAGTTAGAGAGCTGGGTGAGATAAAGGGCATGTCCACAGCAACAGCAGCAACTGGGCAGGACCTGTGGCACAGGGAAGGACACTGGGCACATTCTGAGCATGACAGAGTCAGGGTATTTGGCAGGCAGGGTTGTATTTGGTGGGATTCCACAGCGGTTTCTGGGGATGTCACCAGGTGAGGATTTGGAGAGAAACAAAGACGTCAGGGTGGTACAGGTGTGATGAGGCAGGAGGCGAGGGTAGAAAGCCAGGGCTTGCCCAGGGCCGGAGAGCCGACAGCTTCCTCACTTGCACTTTCTGGTTGGAGACCACCAAGCAAAAACAGCTGGTGGGCAGCTGTATGCCCTGGTGAGGGCATTAGGGAAGGAGCCATCATCCAGGCCTGGTGGATCAGTTAGTTCCTCGGATGAGTGAGGGTGTAGGAGTGGAGTAGTGGGCCAGGAGTACCTAGAGGAGTCACGGGGCAGGGGTTGTCATAGAGAACAAGGTGCATGGATGTGGTCGGGGCTCACGGGCTGTCAACAGGAAGTGTAGATCTGTGGTGTAACCCTGACAAGGTGTGGCTGCAGGGGCACAGGAGAGGGAAGGTCGGTCATTGAGAGTGCAGTTGTGGAAAACGGCCAGCTGGTAGTGGATAGCCCAGGTACTGTGCTCCAAGGGAGGTGGCAGGAAGATGAGGAGAGCTGGCCCTGATGAGCCAGCTGGATGCAGCAGGGAAGGTCTCAGCACCAGTGGGAGGGGGTTCATCTTCCTGATAGACATGACATCCTGTGACAGGCTCCATTTCCACCACTTCTGGTAGACTGGCTTCCACCTGGGAATGTCTTGCAATGAGAAATACGCTGGGGGGGGGGATGGGTGTCTTATTTGTGCAGAGCATGCTGTGGAGTTGTCTATATCCCTCCCTTCTCTGGAGAAGTGTATCATTTCTATTTCCCACTTAGACCCGAGTCTCCTGTGGGCCTGAGAGTGGGGCCGTGGGTGGAGCTGCACTATCGGGCCTTCTGCAGCCTCAGCCCTTGAGTGCCAGCCACAAATGTCACTGGACTTGAAATGACTTGGGAGCCAATTGCTTTAGGGAAATGGAAGCCAAGAATGCCCCGAGGTCAGAAAGTGAGCTGCAGCGCGTTGCCCTGGGCGTGCTGCTTTTTGTGTGGGCTCTTAAAAGCTTTTCCAGGCAGAGCCTAGAAGTGACTTATTCTAAAAGCACTAAATGAGTATATGTTTGGGGGCGGGGGTTGTGAATCCCCCTTTAATAGTTTCCCTACATATTTGTGCGTATGAGGAATAAACTTATGACTTGTGAAAGCCCCACGATTGGTCCATTACCTTGTGATTTTACAGCTGCCTTCTGTAGGGCTGAGTGTCACCTCTCCTGAGAACCCTGTGAATGCTCTGTCTCTCCTCTCCATTCTGCTTCTCTAATAGGTCTCAAACCCAAACAGACTGCTAAGATGCCTACTAACATATCAAAGTATACTCAGGTTCTCCCAGCATCCTTCAGTCCCTACCTGATACTGGGTCCTCCTGGTACCTCTACCTTAAACTAATCCAGCCAGGGGCCGGGCTGGGCTTTCTCTTCCCCAGCTTCTCTGATTCCTAAATAACCCAGCCATTTTGGCTATGTGACCCTTTTTGCCCTTTGGCCTCTTGATCTGGTCTCCTGGCTCTCCCCATCCCCCTCCTCCTCACATGGCCTGGCCCTGCCAAGTTCTCTGAACTCCTTCAGATGTCTCTCCCTCTGGCTACGCTCTCCCTTTTATTTACAATAAACCTTTCCCTCCATATCTGGGAGCAATAATATTCTCTTATTTTTTGTTTTTTTCCATTTACACACAAACAGCATTTGTTGTTTTCAATTGGGGTGTCACAGTGAAGGGAGGAGCCTTTGTCTCCTCCTGGATTGCCAGTCAATAACTCATCCTGGGCTGGGTCTAGTGGTAACATAGCACTCACGAGGCAGAGGAAGGAGGATCTCGGTATGAGTTCACAGCCAGCTTGGTTTACACTTCCAGTTCCTGGCCAGTTGGGGCTACAGGTGGGGAATGTTGAGGTAAACCTTTTGGAGGCCCACAGAGAACCAGACTCCCCAAAAGGTCCTGATCCACTGCACACAGCGTTGACCTACTAGGGACTCCGAGCATGCTAGTGAAGTCTCAGAATGATCTGAGGCTAGGGCGGTGACTGCTTCCCCCCTCACAGAAGCCTCGTAAAGTGACCTTGTCCCCCCATCCCCCGAATTTCCTTATAGTCACACCAACCTGATTGATTGTTACTGGTGCTTGAGGCAGGCATGGGATTGTCTGATTAGCCCTTCAGTCATATAAAGGCTTATGCACAATAAAGTTAGATCTGCACCTTTAAGTCTGGTCTCTGGAGTCTGATTCCGGGATTCTTCGTGGGCTCCATTGACACTCTCCTTCCTCCAGTTTCTGATCCTCATAGCTACGTAGTGAGACCATCTCAAAAAATCAAACCAAACCAAACCAAAGCTCCTCATCCTGTCTTTGTGTCAGTGTTGTGCCGATGATAGTTGCTGTTTTGTTTGTTGTCAGGCTTACTGATGTGTGTTCTCCCATCTGTGGTAGCTCCTCGGGGAAAGGTCACTGTTCCTTACTGCTGTCTAAGAGCGGGGCCTGACAGGAGATGCTGAATGATGTGGGAGATAAATGAATGAACTGTCCCTACTAGCGTTCTGTTCATTTTTATTGCTGTGAAGACACACCGTGACCATGACAACTCTTGTTGTTGTTTTGTTTTTTTGAGCCGGGGTTTCTCTTTGTAGCTCTGGCTGCCCTGGACTCGCTTCTGCCTCCACCACACCCGGCTTCCATGACAACTCTTAAGAAACTCTTAACTCATTTAATTGGCTGGCTTATAGTTCTAGAGGTCATTGGAAGATCTCACTGGTCCGTTCTGCAGGGTTCAGGGGTCAGGGCATGAGGGAGCCAGCAGTCTCAGGACCTGGTGACATCATGAAGCTCAGGCTGTATGTGGTAGGAGCCTTTGTTCCTCTTGCTTGTTATAACTTTAGTAACTCCCAAGCCGCCTTGGGTAAACATACAGCCTCAGTAAGACTGTGAGTTTTGGGCTGGCCTCTAGACAAGCCTGTGTTCCCTGCCTTTGACTAAATGGTCCTTTCTATAGAGACTTACTGTTCCCTTAGCATGCCCTACAGACGGGAAATGGGTTCTCACAGGCAAAGCAATGCAGGGCGGCTTAGCGGGAAAATTCAGTGCCACAGGCGCACTGAATCTTCAAGCCAGTTGCACCAGATACTCTCATACAGTTAGGAGTAAGTCATCAGGAGACTCCCAAGTGGCAGGATCACCATGGAAAGCATGTTGTGAGTGAGCTTCTAGGTTGGGTTAGTTGAGGGAGGGAAGACCCTGCCTGCCTGTGAGCTGCACTGTCTATTAGGCTGGTGTTTTTATGAATAAAAAATGAGAATCCCAACCACTCCAGTGACGACTCAAGAGCCAGATGCTGGGGTGAAAACCTGCTAGCTCAGAGAGGCAGAGAAAGTAACCAGCTGACCTTCCTTCTCAGCTCAGGTCCTGATGGAAAAAACCCAAAAGGCTCACTAGCTCAGCTGACAGCCCAGGTGGAAAAGGCCAAAAAAAACCCAGAGAAACAAAAATTTTTTAAAAAAGCCCCAAAAGCCAAGGAGCTGAATTGCTGAAGCCTAGGTGAAAAGCTGGAGCTTAAGCTATAAAGCCCTTTCAACTTCTCCATGTTTTCTTAAGTACCCTCAACTCAAAGTCCCTCCTATTCTTTAATACCTGTCAGCTGGTTCTTGCTCCACCTCTTGACCTAGGGTTAACTATTAAATCTGGTATACAGAGAGCTCTTGGATTAAAGGTGTGTACTAGGACTGAGCCATACCATAATCACCTGTTTACAATAAACAGAAAGTTCTTGGATTAAAGGTATGTGATAGGGCTCAACCACACCAAACAAGAAGCAGGGTTTTACAGTTCAGTTTTGGAGTGCACAATGGGATCAAATATCCTGCAACAGGCTGGGTCCTGAGTGGAGCACCACTGTTCCTTTCTTCCTGACTATACCCAAAGATTGGGAAAACAAATCCTTCCCGAAGCTGACCGTGTGAGGTACCGTGTCCAAGCTGTAAGACAAGTAATGTCTTTTCAAATGCTTATTTGAAAACATTTAGGCCGGGGCTCTGGTGGATCATGCCTTTGATCTTAGTATTTGGAGGCAGAGGTAGGCGGATCAAGGCCAACCTAATCTACAAAGCAAGTTCAGGACAGCTAGGGATACACAAAGAAACCCTGTCTCAAAACAAAACCAACCAACTGAACAAAAACAGCTCACTGCTCACAAA